CGAAGCAGTTCGAACTCTTGTGCGTGTTGCGTGATGGCGAGGCTTGGCGATTCGAGAGTGCTCAAGGAAGGTAGGAAAAGAGTTGGGCGGCCCGGGAAAAGCCGAGAGGGCACGGTACGATGCGTGGAAGATTGTGTGGATGGCTACAGAGATATTGGCTTCGCTGTCCGTACTGATTTCGTAGAGGCAATTCGAGTCACATTTCCTCGTGGTGGTAAGTCATGTGCGTCAACAATGCGCGGTGATTGACACAAGCTTGTTGACACATGCTTAGAGTGGGAACGAAACAGGAGGGAGGGGTTTCAAAATATCACTTACTAGCTGAAGCAAGGCTACGGCGCGCAACCACGTTAGGCGAGGTTGGCCGAGCCTGCCAAGGCGAAGGTGGCGCCGTAGCTAGAAGAAGAAAGGAGGAGAACTAGTAGTGGCAGCGGAAGAGCTAAGCTAGAAGTAGAAGGTGGGATCCAAGATGGCAAGAAGATAGAATTACAATGATCCAAGGATGATACAAACAAGAACTAGAGAGATATTTACGCAAAGGAAAGAGAAGCGCGACTCGGATAGGAATACTGTGTCGCTACTCTATCTTGCATAGCATCTCGACATCACGCCTCGATGCTATGCTCTGCTGTACAATCCGTCCTGAGAGGGATAAGGGATAAGGCCCGAGGCTAGCAAGTGTTGTTGTTCGTAGGTAGCTAGGCAAGGACCCGTTAGGAAATTCCCATGCATCTCGCATGGTGAATTCCGTCTTGTTATATAATTCCGTGCTTCAGCTCTTTATATGTTACAGAGCTTCGACTAGGAGCAGGGAAGTTCCCAGAATCAGAAAAGAGGAAAGAAGATCTTAGACACACAATTGTCCTGCTTGTAATTGCTCTTTTGACTATCAGCAATTTAGAGCAAAAGCAAGAACACACTTGAGTATAATTGTTTCTCAGTTTTCAGCAAAGGAATCAGATTGTAGAGGTCAGACAGAAGATGCACGAACTCCAAAGTTGGAAATAGATGTGAAGACCAAGTAGAAATGCCCCAGCAGAAAGATTAGGTCATGAAATGGTTTTTTTCGAGCACTTTTTACCCAACTCCACCTTTCGTCAAAGAGTTTGAGTGAAGCTCGAAGTAGTGTAGCAGTAGGAAGACACCTTGAATAGAAGGGTAGCATTGAAATTCGAAGTTCTGCTCCCACACTCTGGTTGGCTGAAATTCGCCCAATCAGGTTCAAGAACCTCGCCACCACCAAAACGAATTCGACTTCACACTTGGAGCAGGAAGGTCCTTGCCATCAGTTGCAGGAAAGTCCTCGTAGTTGCTCCAAGGTAGGATATGTCGAAGTAGTCAAGTCGAAGTGATAAGTACTAGCTAGCTAAGGACGAAAGAAGTAGTCGAGGCTGAGATTAGTAGCTAGCTTAGCACGAGAATAGATCTGAGGATCATAACAGCTCGGATACAAGTGAAGCAAGGCTACGGCACGCAACCACGTTAGGCGAGGTTGGCCGAGCCTGCCAAGGCGAAGGTGGCGCCGTAGCTAGAAGAAGAAAGAAGGAGAACGAGTAGTGGCAGCGGAAGAGGTAAGCTAGAAGTAGAAGGTGGGATCCAAGATGGCAAGAAGATAGAATTACAATGATCCAAGGACGATACAAACAAGAACTAGGCCCTGTTCGGCAGCCAGGGGGAAGCAATTTTGTAGGAAGGTTATGGGAAGGTGGGGCTCGTGTCAAACCAGGGTCAACGAATTTTGATCCTGGGTTGACTGTTCCGAGGAAAACCTGTGCCATGGGGGAGTTGGTGCAGATTGGGGGGGGGAATGGGAAAAGGCGCCGCAAGAGAGAGGCACATTTGGCCTCAAATGTGCTTGCCCCAGGGCACTGTAGCGGGAACAGAAAGGTTCGCCAGAAAAAACAAAAGATTTGCGCCCCATGCTGTTGGGGAAATCCAACTTAAAAAAAAACGAACAATGTGTTTTTTGATGTAGTAACCCTTTCCTTTGGAGGGTCCAATGTTGGCCCGTGAACAGTGAACCCAGGTGGAATCAAAAAGTTGATTCTTCTGTTTTCAAAGAATCACTTTCTTCTTCCGTCTCACTAGGGCGGAACCTTTCCGCCAAGGGGGGAAGAATAAGGACAGAAGACGGCGCGGAAGCAATGTTTGGAGGTGTTCGCGTCGCTGCTGCTAAACACCTGCGTTTCGATTTCCGGAAAGTTTACCCTACAGCCCGTACTGTTTTGCCCTCGATAATGCGATTAGAAGCTTCGAAGAAGACGGAAAAAAATTCTTCCGCCCTTCTTCCGTGGCTACCGAACTGGGCCCTAGAGAGATATTTATGCTAAGGAAAGAGAAGCGAGACTCGGATAGGAATACCGTGTCGCTACTCTATCTAGCATAGCATCTCGACATCACGCCTCGATGCTATGCTCTATAAGGGAAAAGGCCCAAGGCTAGCAAGTGTTGTTGTTCGTAGGTAGCTAGCCAAGGACCCGTTAGGAAATTCCCATGCATCTCGCATGGTGAATTCCGTCTTGTTACACTAGCACTCAAATCTCGAGTTCGGCACAAGCGTTGCCTACCAGAACCACAGGAAATTGCGTTTCCCACCAGTTACCACTGCAGATCGACATCAGTTCGCAATCACTCCCAGACGAATAGTTCCGCAAAGCGAAGTGCCAAATATGCAACCGTTGTGTCGATCTCAGTTCGCCCAAGCAACGAATTTGTGTCGCTCCCCGCTTTCAATGCCAGTGCTCCTCTGCCGTCACCTGTTACACACTCGAGGCGACACGACGCTCCCGCGCTCATCGCAGAATCCTAGTCGCCAGAGAAGCACTAGTTATCGCACAGCGCGCCGCGTAGCAGCTAATACCAGTCATCCTGCTAGTCCTCCTCCCGTCACGCTATCTTTCCCATTTTCTACCCCTCGTTAAGAGAGAGATTCACACCTGCTCTCTCGCTTCCCATGTTTCCAAAGCCGTCGTATCCTCTCCAGTAAGATTCACAATCGCGCGTTTCAGTCGTTTGGCGTTTCCGGCGCCTGTTGCGGAGCTCAGAGCCAAGTGCATGCGCTAGTCTCTCAGCACTACGTTTTACTCTTGGAAACCCTAAAACAGGTAAGGCTTGTCTCGTCATAGCATCATTCGCCTTGCACACCAGCAACTACCCTCAATCGTTACTTTTCTTCACTTCGCCGATTTTTTGGAGTCCTCGAATGCTCCGGACCCTCTGTTTATCTCATTCTCGTAAACATGCCTCCCCACCATCGCCCAAAACACTAATGGCTCTCGCCCTGGCGCCTGACGCATTCCCACGCAAGTGCTGGCGGTGGCCAGACGCTGGCGCTTAGCTCGCTGGCGCATAACACGCTGGCACCTATTGCAATGGTGCCTAACGCGCTGCGCCTACGCGCTGGCGCCTAAGGTGCTGACGCCCAGCGCGCTGGCGCTTAGTGCGCTGGCGCCTAACAGCGCTTGCGCCATGAGCGTTGGCGCCATGTGCTTTTGGGCGTTGACCCTACAACGTATGCACCTTGTAACGGATCTATTAAGAAAAAGGGCATTTACCCATATACTAATAGCTTCTAGTACAACCAGAGAGTAACAGCTCCTGGAAATGACTAAGTCTGAGAGTTGCTAGGAAAACGCAGTAACAAATCTTGGAGGGTGAGTTGAGGAGAAGACAATCCTATTTCCCAATTGATTAGTTGGGAGTAGGGAAATGAAGAATGAACCAGAAGGCTCAGACCCCTTCCCTAGACCCCCTTGGGGTGCAGCCACCTTCCCCATGGCAAGGAGGGGTGCACTCCCTTGGGCCTTGCCCATGTGGCAACAAACAAGGTTCTCAACCAATTACATTTTAGATAGCCAGGATAGGAAATGCACAGCAATCACAAACCTGTGTTTGATGTTTATTGGTTGTGTTTGAAGTGAGCGGCGGAAATGTTGTCGACTCACTTCTGGGGCTGTGTTCTGATTGGTCGAATTAGGCCTGAGTTGCACTTACGTGGGTTGTGTTTGATCCAACTTGAACCAATTACGTGGGTTCAATTCATTAGCAATTTCTATTGGTTGGTTTCCCAATCAAACCACAATTCCCCGCAAGTCTCGCTTCTCCCTGTATTCTCAACCAATCAGATTTCCCACCAATTCCCCCTCTCAGCTGGTTCGACGTATCGAGACCAGGTGGGGGTTGGGTCCGAATGTTACACACCTAGTGCGCTGGCGGCAGTAGCGCCATGGGCGTTGATGCCTTGGGCGATTGAGCCGTGCCTTGGCGCATCTGGGCCTAGAACGCTGAGTGTGGTTTTCGTGTCAATACCTACATATTAACGTCTCTGAAACATTCTCACTCATTCGTACAAGTGCATTCGCCCATATTGATGACATGTTCGTTCGTACCGTTTGCTGTATAAATGGAAGCGCACATCCACTCAGCCGTGAAAAATTCTCGTTTTCGGGTTGGCCCAGATAACCCCAGCCAACTCTACCCTACCCTACTCAACCTAAGAAAAGGCGGAGGAGTTTAGGTTTGCTCACACTCTCTTTCCTGCACCCTCTTGCTCCACTACCTCCCTCCCCCTCTTCCATCTCCCTCCCCACATCTAACGATCCACTTTTTTTTTTTTTTTTTTTTTTTTTTTCAAAATTGTGTCTTGCTCACCAACCAACGATGCCCTCTGCTTCCTTGCTCTATTGTTCTCCTGTTCGACAGATCATTCAACCAATAGGGGCACGTGCGGTGTTTGTAGGTTTCGAGCGTTGACTCACTATTTTTAGATTCTCTGGAACGCAAAGCATTGATTCGCTTCAAAACTCCAAGCATTTCACTGAACCGCATACAAGGGAGACATTTTGACACAGCGGGAACGCGGGATCGGCATGATGCCATGCCAGAGCCACTGACAATCTTACCTTTTGCATTGGCTCGACGCGACTTGACTCGCTTGACCCCCTTGACCTGTGTTGACCGGTTGACCTGCTTGCAACCAACCACGTGCTGCTAGGCGCATCATGCTGCTCCTCGCGATCCCCGCTTGCCCCTCCTTTCAAACTGTTCTTCCCTTGCTGCTTGCTCTGTTAGTCGTGTATCCCGTATCCCTTTGCGGAACGGAGAGAGCGAACCGGTTCAAATCAGTCACGCGCCTCGTCTTCCTACCTGATAACGAGTACAGCTCGAAATGCCTCGACGGAAGGTGCGCACTTTTTTTTTTGTTATTTTTGTTTTTTAATGATGATTGGACCTTCTACTAGGTCTTTCTCCTTCGACCTGCCATTCCTCCTCTCCCATACGTCCAATCGATTCCCTCACAATTCCTTTCCTCCACCCCTCCATCCCCTCCCTTCCCCCACTCCCTCTCCTCTCCTCCTCACCCACCCACCCACCCACTGCCCCCCGAAGTACCCCCGCGTACTACTTCCGCGCGGGGGCGGGCGCGGGGAGGCGCAAGTGGCACGTGCATCTGCCCCAGGGCGGCTGGTGCTTCTCGCCGCTCGAGTGCCGCGAGCGCGCCAACTCCCCCCTTGGCTCCTCGCGCTTCTGGGCCACGCGCCTGCCTGCCGTTGTTGAAAACGGCGGAAAGATCAACAATGTGAGTCACAAATGAGATGCCCTCTTTCTCTCTCTCTCTCTCTCTCAAGCGGTCCTTTGTATTGATTCAGCAGAGGTGCAAAACATGCAGTGCTATCCATGATAACCTCCATCCCTCAAGCCCCTTGACTCACACTCTTTCCCCCCCCCCGAGTGACCCTCTAGCCCTCCAGCGTGTGGAGGATGTCCCCCAGGTGCAGCGGCCAGGGGTCCGCTGCCATCTGGGGGTGCGCTGCCTCTCTCTCTCACTCTCTCGATCGGTCCTTGTATTCATTATAGGATAGTACAAGGTAGGTAGGTCTCATTGGTCTTGGAGCGGACAGCATTGGCCTGCAGCTGCTTGCGCTGGAGAGTGGCGCTGGAGAGTGGCGCTGGAGAGTGGCGCTGGAGAGTGGCGCTGGAGAGTGGCGCTGGAGAGTGGCGCTGGAGAGTGGCGCTGGAGAGTGGCGCTGGAGAGTGGCGCTGGAGAGTGGCGCTGGAGAGTGACGCTGGAGAGTGGCGCTGGAGAGTGGCGCTGGAGAGTGGCGCTGGAAAGTGGCGCTGGAGAGTGGCGCTGGAGAGTGGCGCTGGAGAGTGGCGCTGGAGAGTGACGCTCCAGCACTGGCTGGCGGTACTCGGTGAGTAACTTAGTTGCCACTGTCACACAAAATCGCCAGATTCCAGCTTCCAACCAGAACGGTTCAACAAACAGCGAGTCATAACCTGGTACCCGAGCTCCACGTGTGGACCTGGTGTGGCTCGTGTGCTGTGCTGTGACCGGACGGAGGCGCCTGAGAAAGGCATTCCACCGCAGTGCAACCCACCCAACTCCACCCGACCCCTCCCCACCGTGCCCTGTCCTCAGGCATCCGAGTCGTATCCACAGCTGGGCGGGCTCCTATCACAGGACAGCGCAACCAACCCCTTGTTCCACGGGTGGAACCTGGTGTGGGTGGTGTACTGTGACGGTGGCGCCTACAGCAGCACGCGGGGGAGGGCGGACCTGGGGGAGGGCGCATCGGTGTACATGCAGGGGCGGCAGATTCTAGATGATATTATAACTGGTGGGCAGTAGATTGTAGATCATATAACCACTGGTGGGTGGGGAGGGGAAGGGGGAAGGATAAGGAAGGCGTTGGGGGCCATGGGGAAGAGTGCAAAGGAGGAGTAAGTGGGGTGTGGTTTTATCTGTCTACATGCAGGGAATAGAAGGCAGAGAGGGGGGATATAGTTGAACAGGAGGGGGAGGGTGGAAGGAGGAGGAGATGGGGCGTGATTGATCTGTCCCCCTCTTGCCTTTCACCACCCTTCCCCTCCCGTCTCACCATTCATCTCGCAGATCTGTGCACGCAGAGGGGCATGGGGGCGGCGTCGCATGTCCTCTTCTCGGGCAGCTCAGCGGGCGGCCATGCCATCATCATGCACTGCGACCGCCTCGCTGCTGCCTTCCCCCACGCCAAAGCCACCTGCCTTGCCGACTCGGGCTTCTTCGTTGGTGAGCGCTGTGAGCTTGAGGGTGAGAGCAGGGTTCTTTGTTGCTCACCTACCCTGTCTTACTTGGTGAGCTTCGTGCACCGTTAACCACTGTGTTTTGTTGGTAAATTTTCTCCACTTTCCAACTTTGCCTTCTTTTTTGGTGAGCAGTCTCTGGAACCCAGTAGGCACAATTCCCCCTTTTGAGTCATGTCAGTTGTAGCCTTGTTTATCAAAAGGCTTCCTTCCCTGCTCTTCCTCCCTCCTCCCCCCCTCTCCTCCACCTCCCCCTTGTCCCTCCCTTTTTCCTCCCCCTTCCCATGCAGACGCCAAGGACCGCTTTGGGGTGTACTCGTGGCGGGAATCCATTCGGCAGCTCACCGCTCTGCACCTCATTGAAGTTCCCAAATGCCCTGCAGGTAAAAACAGCATAAAGATACCACCTACCAGGTGAAAACATGTGAAAACAACCATAGACAATTGTCCTTTCAAGGGTGATGGGTGGGTGGGTGGTGGTTGATCTGCGCACTCTTTGGACCCGCCTCTGGTTCTTCCATAGGAGGGCCACATCTCAGTAAGAATTCCTCCTCTCCCTCTTCTGAAGCTACTCGAGAGGCTCTCCTTTTCTCTCCTCTTTTCCCTCCCAATCAGGTGCACAAGCGAGGGACTACTGGGTTTGCTTCTTCCCAGTCACTGCGTCATCATGTTGCTCTCCTACCCCCCCCTCCCCCCACCCCCTCCACACACACCCCCTTCCTTCCTGCTTCTGTCCGCCTCAGGATCACAAGAGAGTGACAACTGGGTCTGCTTCTTCCCTGAACACACCCTTACACGGGTCTCCACGCCCCTCTTCCTCTTCCATTCTTTCTTTGACTGGCGGTTCATCCAGTATGGGCAGCAGCTTCCTATCGAAAATCCACAGTACTCGGCCAAGTGCCTCAACAGGCAGATATTACAAAGAAGAGCAAGTGTACTGGCACGGAAACGCACGTGGGATAATGTGAGGTGGAGGCACCACTACTGCTCGCGGCAAGAGCTGGATGCGGTTTTCTCCGTGGGTTATGCTGTGTATTGTCGCCTGGCGGAAGCAGCGCGTGGTGACAGGAAAATGGGTGTGTTTTTGGCGCCGGGATCGCTGCACACAACGATGTTCAGTGTTAATTGGTCCTTAACAAGAGTGAGGAGGGTAAAGCTGAGCAGTCTGTTTAAAAAATGGTACAGTCATAGGGGTAAAAGGAGGGGATTGTTTGTGTTTGCATGACATTCAAGGTTGAAAAAAATCCGCATGCAGTGTATGATTTTATCTTGATAATGCATCATAATGGAAAAAAAAAGGTTTCTCTTACATGAGAAGGATTCAATAATGCCAAAGTAAGGTTCAGGGTAATTGTAGGTGTGCATTTGTTAGGCTAGGTTGACCTCCTTGACTCCCTCTACCCTGGAATGGTCGGGGCTGATTCAGGTGCACATGACAAGAGGGGGAAAGGATGGAATGGGAAGGGAATGGAGAGGGGAAGTGGAGGGAATGGGGAGGGAACAAGAGGGGAAGGGGAAGGTAAGAGGAGGGATAGAGAACGTAAAGATGAGAGGAAGGTGGTTGTTGCCTTATGTGTGAAATGAAAGAATGGTACCTTCCATTTCGACCATGAAGTGGTGCCATATGGCACCACACATGCCATGCACATGATGATGCACACACCATGCGCATGCCATGCACATGATGATGCACACACCATGCACATGCCATGCACATGATGATGCACACACCATGCACATGCCATGCACATGCATGCACATGCATGCATCGCCGCCACCCATCCGCCCACCCACCCCACTCACACTCATGGGGGTGTGCATTGTGCCTCGTATTCTTGAGGAACATGCTCTTGGTGTCCCTTGCCGCCTCTGCTGCCTCCTTGCCTCGCCTCAACTGCTCTCTTCCTGCCTCGATGTCTCCATTAGGCCGTGCCACGTGCCCACGACAACACTGTTAGGGCCTATGCGTATAAGCTGTTTCAGAAGGGGAGAAATTGGGAAGGAAGGACGCGGAGTAGGGGAAGAGGGGAAAAAGCGGTGGGGGTGGGGGTGGGGGAGGGGGGGAATTTGAAAGCAGGGCAGCAAGGGAGGCATGCATGAGCACACGATGCACCGATGCACATTAGCTGAGTGTGAGCGAGAAGGATGGGTCAAGGGAGGGCTGAGGGGAGGGGAACAGGTAAGACTCCAAGGACATCAATGGAGGCAGGCATGGGAAAGAGCGGGAAACAGAGGAAGGACGGGAGAGAGGAAAAGGAGGAGGACAACACAAGGCAACAGAGGTAATTCACTGGGGGCACCGGTGCGTGGGTTGTGAGAGGAACGCGGGTTGGGCGAGAGATGGCCGTGACAACCTAGTCGCCTAGAGATGAGTCAGGCGTGGTGTGTAGAATCGCCAGATTGGCGAGCGCCGACTCGATGAATGATCACCTGACAAAAAGTCGAGTCGAGTGATCGCCTGAGTCGGCCGAGTCTAGACAAAACCGTACTTGCTGTTTGTATGTAACCTCGTGTGAGGCTGACCTGGCCTGTCGTGGACCAACCTAGGCTGTTGTGAGTGACCCAACCTACGGCTAACCCTGCTTGTGTCTGTCCTAGCTGTAATCGACCCACCTGTGGCTATCGCACCCTATCACAAATCTTACTTGTGTCAAGCCTACCTTGTGCTTGACCTAGTCTGTGCGTGTCTTAGCCTGTGACTGACTGACCTACCCTTTGACTGGCCTAGCCTCTGATAGATGGGAACTCTGACTGACCGAACTTGTGACTGACCTACCTTGCTATTGACCTAGCCTGCGAGTGACCTGGCCTCTGTTTGACCTTGCTTGTGCTTGACCTAGCCAGTGACTGACCTACCTTGTGACTTTGGGTAGCCTCTGAATGACCTTTTCTGTGCCTGATCTACCCTTTTACTTGGCCTGTGACCAACCTAACCTCTCTCTATCACAGTCGCTGTCCGACCTAGCTGTTGGATTGGGCCGTCTCTAAGTGACGAACTTTGCCTCTGACTGATCTTGCGTGTGACTGGCCTAGCCCCCCACTGACCTAGCTTGTGTCGGACCTAGTCTGTGAGTGACCTATTCTGTAATTGACGGTTGTTGATCCTTATACCGAATTATGTATGACAATACAGATTTGCTATATGGTGCTTGCTTGGGATTTAGTTATGGTTAGGAGAATCGAATTTGAATCTTAATTTGACGGGCATACAGCCAGGATATGTGCACAGATGAAGGGAAAGGGATAGCTGTTGTGAGAATGGCTGCAGGAGAATGTGTGCAGCAGAGTTGTGTGAACAGGAGATGCTGGTTAGGTAGCTGCAGCCTGCAGTAAGGTGGTCCGTATGGTGAGTGAGGTGGCCAATGTGGGCCAACCCGTTTGGTTGGTTTAACTTTAGGTGCTGAGCCGCGACAAACACAACAGAGAGGTTTGACATGGAAACCGGGACACCAAGTGCATGAACATTGCAGATTTCGCTGAGATCCACGGGAGATGCTGCTGCTGAACGGGTTCGGTTATGAACCTCGGTGTTGGCTCGACTTGATCAAACTAGTTCTCTTCGACTAGTGGACCGGTTGGACTCAATTTTGGTACGTTCTCAACCCCACCTGAGATTGACATGAGACTGACCTGAGACTCACTTGAAATTCACTTGAGACTGACCTGCAACTGACCTGCTTGTGACCAGCAGCTTAAAGGACACATCCAGAATTACCGTGTCGGCCCCAAAACTGTCACCACTTTCGTGTGATTGGTCGAGGGTTTTGAGTGGGTTTTTGACGCGATTGGTTCTCGATTTCCCCACCGAACCTGTCTCTTGGGTTTCCCGAACCTACTATTTTTTCGTTGACTTCGTTGTGTAATTCGGGGTGTGGCCTTTAACCCGAGGGCACAGGCTGCTGCAGAGCGTAACAGAAGTGGCGCGAGTGAGTCCAGAGACTCGTTCGAGACTCACCTGGGACTTACCTGAAACCCCCTTGAAATTCACCTGAAAACTGACCTGAAACTGACCTGAAACTAACCTGAGACTGACATGCCTGTGACCCGCAGGTTGCCCCAAGGGCACAGGGTATAGCCGTTTTGTCCTATAAACAGTGCGCTGGCAACATAGCGGAGAGGGAGGGCATGTAAAAGGGAGGTGATAATGCCTTAGTAGTCAGTGCACCCGCTGCCTGGGGGTAAGCATCTGTGCTGGGGGTGAGGGGTGGGGGGAAGGGGAGGGAGGGGGATAGGAAGGGAAGGGGAGAGTGTGGTGCTGCAAGAGCAGTGTGGCCGGGCCGTAAGGGCCAAAAGCGTAAGGGAAGTGGCGGGAGTGAGTGCAGTGGGGCAGGAAGAAGTTAGCGGCGGAGTGACATGTGTGGAGTGGGGGAGAGGGGGGGAGGTTGACGGGGGGTGGAAGACGGAGGGAGCAGGAGACGAGAAAAGGGAGAAATAGCATGGTGGGAAGGGTAGCAGGAGGGCTCAGGCAGGCGGGCGTCACGTGAGCGATCATAAGGACGACCCGGAATCGTGAAGGTTCTTCCAGGCAAGGGGCACGTGGCACGCAGGCAGGCAACAAGTGGGGGTGCAAGAGACGCAGGAGCACAGCTGAGGGGGCAATCGTTACGTCTCCAGCAGTGGCGCAACTGGCGGTGGTGCAACGGCGGGTGCAAGGCGAGGCGCGGTCATCGTCCGGCTGGAGCAGTGATGCCTGCAGTACTACGCACCGCACTCCTTACAAGCTCAGCCATTCCAATCAGCCCGCGAGGATTGAATTCGCCAGGAGTGAGCTGCGGGACGGGTCGTGGCAGAGCCTGGTGCCATAGTAGGAAATTGGGGTAAGGAGACTTGGGTGAAGGGAGGGGTGGGAAAAGGAGAAAGGGAAAACGGAAGGGGATGCGGTTCATGGAGGGGGTAAGGGAAGGGGGGGTGGATTAGTGGAAAGGTAGGGGATAAAGGGAAGGGGAGAAGGTAACGGAAAGGGAATGGGGTAAGAGAAGGGGATGGGTGTAAGGTGAGGGGGAGGAGGGGAGGGAGAGAGGGCAAGTGTAAAGGCAGGTTTGCGGCGTCGCTTGTGTGTGGGCGATGTTGCACGCCCGAATAGGCCTCGTGTGAAAGCAGAGAGGGCGTCACCTGACATTGGAATATTTGTTCGGAATAAGATGGAATAGCGTTCGTAACTTGAAAAGCGTGACGGTGTTAGATTTTAGTTGATAAGCCTCTAGATGAGGCAAGCCATGAATACTCCCCATCACCAGCTGCCATCATCTGAGCTCTAACCGAGGGGATAATCAAGTCCCGATTTATAATATGCTTAATGTCCATCGTAACAACCTTCCAAAACCCCCTTGGCATCGGGATGTTGTAACCCTCATAAAAAGACTTCTCCGAAAACTTTCTTGGTCCTGCGAGCCCCAACGGGCAGCTCAAATAATCCGGCCGCAACTTCAAAATTGCAGATGTATTTTCCAGCCCCAAATCATTGCCTATGTAGTCCCGAAAGCCCGCAGCAAGAGGCTGACTCAGCGAAATGTTGATCTCCCGATTCAACTTTTCCGTAACGGTGAAATTCTCGCAGTGCTTCCAGTCGAGGCCATAGTTGGTGGTGTTGACGGCGACAACGTCGATGAGATTGTCGCTTCCCAGCCCGCTGCATGCTCCCGTGATGTCAGCACCTGGCTGACCTGGCGGGTTACATGACACGCCGCCATTGGCCGATGTTTCCTTGCAGATGTCCTTCATCCAAGGCCATAGCTGGATGTGACAATAACGAGGGGGGGAAAAGAGAGAGGAGATGGGAGAGATGGGAGAGAGGGAGGGGAGAGAGGAGAGGAGAGAAGGGAGACGAAGGGGGAGGTAAGGAAAAGAATACATTAGCTTTTATTGCACACATGATATGGAGGGGGGGTCAAGGGGTGGAGGAGCAGTGATCACTTGGTAAGTTTGACCACATGTGACTTCACACTCTCTCACTGCTGAACATCTGCTCCTTTACTCTCACACACCCAGTTGATACGGTTGCTGTGTGTGAGGAACGAGGCTTAACGCCACCACAGGGGCACCATATGCACAGCCACTGGCACAGATATTCACAGGGATGCCTCCCAATAGTAACAGCTCTCTTCACGTACTCGGTTGATATGGGTGCTGTGTAGTATTTCACTTGCATTGCATCCCAGTAGTCCCTTTCAGTACTTTTGAGGCGTCTCACATGTTGGATGCGAAGCTATGGCATGTGCTCTTTGCTCACTTCCTGCTCTGCTCTCACTCACGTGGTTGATGCGGGCGCTGTTGTAGTATTTCACGCGCATGGCCTCCCAGTAGTTGCCGGGGTCTTTGAGGCAGTTGTTGACGGTCACTGTGAAGCACGACGTCCACCCCAGCGATCCCCGCGTGCCTTTCATCGCCACGTTCTTTATCACGTTCCTGCAGTCAAGATGGGGGAGGAAGGGGTGGACAGCAATACAGGGCAGTACGGCATCTGGAGTTGTTGTGCAAAGGGGACTGCTGAGGCAAACAAAAAGGGGGCCCTAAAGGGCGCAACTGAACATATAATTGCACAGCACGGGATCTCCACAGTCCCTCCTCACCGCTTGCCGTTATTCACTTTCATGTCGTCATACGTATTCACGCACGCGCCTCCCCTGACAAGCACGCCCGACGAGCAATGGTCCAAATAATAGCAGTGATCGCCGTTGAACACGTAGTTGCACAGCGCCGAGTTGCCCGGGCTGAACCAGTGCGTGTAGAAGTAGATCCCAGCCGAGTCGTGATCCCCGTTGAGGTTCCTCCCAGAGGAAACCACAAGGTTGGAGTTGATGCGACTGAGCATGCACGCAAAGCTGTAATGCACGTCGGCACCGCACTTGATTCCAGCGAATATGAAGGCGTGCACGTAGTTGTTCCTGACGGTTACACCAACTGCTCCCCTGTGCAAGAGGATCGGAGTGTTCACCCCTGCAATCGAGGGAAAGAAGGGGGGAAGAGTACAGAAAAGGAGAGTTCAGCCACTACGACAGTGGTAAATCCTTGCCGAGACTTGATCCCCGTTGTTAGAATAAACAAGGCTGGAGTTGATGCGAGTGAGCATGCAGTCACCGCTGCAATGCACATTGGCGCTGCAGCGCTGCAGTGAATCCCAACGATAACGTAGTTGTGCATGTACTTGTTGGTCATAGTGATGCCCACCGCCGCTCCCCTGTGCAAGACAGTCAGAGTGTTCACCCCTGCAGGCAACGGAAAGAGAGCGGAAGAGGGGGCAAATGGGGGGATTTGGCATAAGAAGGAGAGGGGGGAGGGGAGGGGTGCGGAGGGGAAATGATGAGATCAATTGGAGTGATGCGAGTAAACATGCATTCGTTGCTGTCATGCACGCCGACTTCCCGCAAAAACAATGGTCATGGATGTAGATGCTGGTGACTGCTATGCCCTCTGCTCCCCTGTGCAGCACAACGGGGGTGTTCACCCCTGCAGGCAAGGAAAGAGGGGGGACTGGGTTAAGGGAAAAAGCGGGAAAGAGCATGGTGATGAGAAGATATAGCCATGGATGTTGTTGTTTGTTATTGCTGTGCCCACTGCTACTCTGTGCAAGACAATGGGGCAGGAGGGCAGGGGGAGAGTGAGGATAAGGGGGCAATGGGGAGAGAGAGGTTAAGGGGGCAGGGGGAACAGTGAGGACCATTCACTGACCTTCAATCTCATTGACTCTGGTTGACTCCCGTTGACTCTGGGAAGCATCCCACTCACTCACCGTACACCTCATTGTTGGAGATGACAATGTTGGATTTGAGAAGTCCCGGCCCGTACCCACACAGGGCCACTCGGATCACCCCAGGCGACTTGATAAAGGAAGCCACTCCGGTGACCGAGAGTGAGTCCAGGCGCACGTCCATGCTGCGTAGCACGTCCACTCGCCCAAAGATGTTGCCCTGGGGGGGAGAGAGGTAGACGGGATAAGGGGTAGCTTGGAGGCACGCGGGAGCTTGAGACGACGTGTGGGATGAGAAAAAGAGAGAGAAACCACTCCAGTGAGCGTTAGTGAGTCCAGCCGCACGCGGCATGGCCATGCTCCATTGCACGCCCACTGGGCCAAAGACGGTGCTGTGAGGGGAAGAGAAGGAGAGGGAATGGGGATGAGAGTGGAGGCACGTGGAAAGATGAGGAGCTGGAAGACATGTGGGTGTGGGTGTGGGATGAGACGAGTTTATGCTGCTCCATCACCTCACCACCACGTCCACCGGAAGAATCCAGACAAGAGAACTTGCGAAAGGAGCGTGACATGCGAAAGGAGCGCAACAAGCAGATGGAATGGAGGGACTCACCTTGTCAATCTGCACGCCGTATGATCGATGGATCAAGACTGCGTCTCGGGGCACGCCACTCCTTGCCCATCTCTGCCACTCCTTGCCCAGCTCTGCCACTCCTTGTCCAGCTCTGCCACTCCCTTGCCCAGCTCTGCCACTCCTTGCCCAGCTCTGCCACTCCGTTGCCCAGCTCTGCCACTCCTTGCCCAGCTCTGCCACTCCCTTGCCCAGCTCTGCCACTCCTTGCCCAGCTCTGCCACTCCCTTGCCCAGCTCTGCCACTCCTTGCCCAGCTCTGCCACTCCTTGCCCAGCTCTGCCACTCCCTTGCCCAGCTCTGCCACTCCCTTGCCCAGCTCTGCCACTCCCTTGCCCAGCTCTGCCACTCCTTGCCCAGCTCTGCCACTCCCTTGCCCAGCTCTGCCACTCCTTGCCCAGCTCTGCCACTCCCTTGCCCAGCTCTGCCACTCCTTGCCCAGCTCTGCCACTCCCTTGCCCAGCTCTGCCACTCCCTTGCCCAGCTCTGCCACTCCCTTGCCCAGCTCTGCCACTCCTTGCCCAGCTCTGCCACTCCCTTGCCCAGCTCTGCCACTCCTTGCCCAGCTCTGCCACTCCTTGCCCGGCTCTGCCACTCCTTGCCCAGCTCTGCCACTCCTTGCCCAGCTCTGCCACTCCCTTGCCCAGCTCTGCCACTCCTTGCCCAGCTCTGTCACTCCCTTGCCCAGCTCTGCCACTCCCTTGCCCAGCTCTGCCACTCCTTGCCCACCTCTGCCACTCCCTTGCCCAGCTCTGCCACTCCTTGCCCAGCTCTGCCACTCCTTGCCCGGCTCTGCCACTCCTTGCCCAGCTCTGCCACTCCCTTGAACAGCTCTGCCACTCCCTTGCCCAGCTCTGCCACTCCTTGCCCAGCTCTGCCACTCCCTTGCCCAGCTCTGCCACTCCTTGCCCAGCTCTGCCACTCCCTTGCCCAGCTCTGCCACTCCTTGCCCAGCTCTGCCACTCCCTTGCCCAGCTCTGCCACTCCCTTGCCCAGCTCTGCCACTCCCTTGCCCAGCTCTGCCACTCCCTTGCCCAGCTCTGCCACTCTTTGCCCAGTTAGTGGTGCTCTCTGTCACCGGCACGTGATATTTCATGTTCAGCGACACTCAACTCACCGCACGCAAGCATTCAAAGTTCGGGGTGGTGCACTCTGGAATGCTCTCTACAGCGAAAGACAAGGGAGAGTGAAAAGCAGGTAAAAGGGAGGGACTGACCTTGCCAATCTGCACGCCGAAGGACCGATGGATGGAGATGGCGGGGCAGGACACGCCTTTGCCCGGCTCTGGCACGATGGTGCACTCGGGGCTGCTCTCCGTCACCGGCAGGCGATAGTTCACGTTCAGCGACATGAAGTTACTCGTGTTCCACACGCGCAGCACCGGATACATAGGGTTACCACCCGTCAGCGTGTAACCGGGCCATTTCGCTGACATGAGTATCGTGCACGACTGCTGCCGCCCGAAAATAACCCCTTTAGGCAGCATCAAATCTTTCTGTAAATGCAGAATAACGGTGGCGGTTCGCGGGAGAGAGGCCCTGGCGGCGAAATCAGCAGCAGACTTGACTCTGACTATGAAGACTCTCTTGAACCACATGCTGCAGGGGCCTTTCGGGCGCTTCTGAGACAGCTGGTACCCTGCGGTTACAGCGGCCCGTTGCAGGGAGACTGGCCCGATGATCACCGTTCGCTGCCTCCTCCTCCTCCCCTGGGCTTGCAGTCTGGCTGCTCCGGTTGTAGCAGCAGCAGCAGGTGTGTAACCAGCTGTAGCAGCTTCTGTAGCAGCATTTGTAGCAGCAGCAGCAGCAGTTGTCCGTCTGAGAGGGACGTCGAGGACAAAGGATTCGCCTGACGCAGCAGCGGCAGCCACAGCAGTGAAGAGCGGCGGGGGCTGGCTGTCCCCCTCACGCTGCTGCCGCACCGACTCAACCCGACGCAGCATGTCACGTTCGTCGTGACTGTATCCGTGGTTGGGAGTGTACTGGATGTGACTGTATTGAGACGGAGCTTGGCTGAAAGAATTGCCGTGTGGGCTGGTTGTGTGATAATGATGGTGGTGACCCATGCTTGATGCGTGGTGCCCCATTGATGCTGAGTGTTGCTCTGTGACTGTAGCGGGGAAGGAGGAGGATGAGGGGGAGGGGGGAGTGTGGGGGAAGTGGGGCTGCGAAGAAAGGGAGAGGGAGTGTGATTGGCATGGAAACCCTTGGTGGTAGCTGAAGCTGTTGCAAACAGAAATCGCATTGTTTTCTTTGAGTGCTTCTGATTCTATCAGCTGATCCTATGCTAACTTGTTTTGGGTTGATATCTCACCATGCCTTGAAACGCGCGAAGTTTACCATTAACAGTAGTGCCTCGAAACGTGTCAGCACGCCTTATAACGCGTACCTCGTCATGTCGTATAACGCGCACCTCGCCATCCCTTGACGCGTACGTAACAATGCTTTGCAGCGCGTACCTTTGCCATGGCTTCGAATGCGTACCTGACCATGCCGTCACAGCGGTCCGCGAGGACAGGCCCGATATGACGGCGAAAATTCCGTAGATTGTGAAGGCATTATAGATTGTCATTCTCTCGGAGGCCACATCGCGACCGACTATTCTTCTTCCGGGCGTCCGCAAGATTCCCTCAAGTCAGATAATGAACAATACGGTAGATTCCATGACCGAAATCGACGCTACAATGGAAAATAAGTTAGGACTTGAATGAAAAAGGAAGCCCGCAGCTGCAGAAACCTTAACTGGCATGAATTGGACAATTTCGCAAAACGCGACTGACGCATGACGCTTACTACTACGGCAATCAGTTGTCCAGAACGTTGCGTGGTTTACCATTTTACACGTTATGTACGGCACAGACGGTCTATCTCAGAACAATGCCATAGAGGAATGCATTGGTGCAAGACACAAAACATGGCTGACAAATGCTACCACGAGAATTTTCTCGCTTGGGGTGTTTGGTGGAAGGAAGTGGCGACGGCAGGACAGTTTCGTTTCGCGATAAGACGAAAGTTCGCGACTGGTGCACGAGTCTCGCGAATTATCATTTTGATGAAGCAAGGCAACATCAAGGAGGAAACTGGCGATGGTTTGTGGGGCGGTGGGAAGGTGTTGGAGGAGCAGCAAAAGTACTGTACACCTCAAACTAACGAACAAGCTTGTGCTCACCAGTGTGTCGGGACACATAGTAGAGGAATGTTACGATGGTGACTAAAAGCGCGTAGTGAAAAGAAATGCTACTCATACCACCTCGATGAAAAAAAATGCGCGTAGTACCAACGGCGGCGCCGTTCCTTCAGTGTCATCCGTACAATCTTCCGCGCATCGTTTCCCCTCGGTTTTTCCCGGGCCGCGATCTCTTTGCCTACCTTCCTTGAGTACTCTCGAATCGCCAAGCCTCACCATCATGCAGCACACACTAGAGATCTAATTACCGCGCCGCTGCTAAGTCACTTTGAGGGCCGCAGAAGTGCGATAGTCTAAGAAATCCTAAAAGAGGTAAGCTCCACTTTTAGTTTTCCCCAGTCAGCCTTCTGCATTGCAGGGGGGGGTGGGGGGAATGAGCAACTTTAGGTTACATACCGAGTCGCTACGAGGTCTGGACAACCTATGAACTAGCAGAGCCCCTTGACGCAGTCTTGTCCCACTCAGCGTTGTTGTCCCGGGCCCTTCCCGTGCTGCTTTTCCTCGCCATCGTTGATACACCCACGCTCTCACTTATCCGGGCTCTAGCCAACCTACCCAGTGGCCCACCGCAGCGTGTGACCAATCTATGCGGTGACTGACCCAGCCCGTGAATGGTCTTGCCGTTACTGACCGAGCTTGCCTCACCTAGCCTGTGACTGACCTGGACATGTGCACAGGGCGACTCTAGTCTACTCTGAGTCGACTCGGCTCTGACCGATCCGAGTTAACTCGCGAGTCGAAGTAGGAACGACAAGGCCGAGATAAAGGCTGGGACAAATATGAATGACAAGGCCGACAAGGAACGACTAATAACCAGATCAGGCCGAGATTGGACCACGAAAATGAGAGATTCAGTTGCTGAACGACATGTTGCTTGACACGGGTAAATGCCGGAGACAAGCTAGTCGAGTAGAGACTAGTCAGGTGTGCTGTTTCGATCACCAACCAGGCGAGTGCCGATTCGACAAATGTCCAGCCGGGTCGGGCGATGCATTGCCCATTAGGCCGAGCCGACTTGACTCAGCGTGACAAGAAGTTGAGTGTCGAGTCAAGTGACCCTCTGAGTCGGCCAAGTCGGTCAAAACTCTACTCGCTGCTCGTATTTAACCTTGCGTGCGGTTGACCTAGCCTGTGACTGGTCGGCTGTTGTGAGTGACCCAGCCTATGACTAACCATGCTTGTGTCTGTCCTAGCTATAAGTGACCCACCTGTGGCTATTGTAGCCTAGGACCAATCTTACTTGTGTCAAGCCAACCTTGTGCTTGACCTAGCCTGTGCTTGACCTAGCCTGTGAGTGACCTAGCCTGTGAGTGACCTAGCCTGTGAGTGACCTAGCCTATGAGTGACCTAGCCTGTGAGTGACCTAGCCTGTGAGTGACCTAGCCTGTGAGTGACCTAGCCTGTGAGTGACCTAGCCTGTGAGTGACCTAGCCTATGAGTGACCTAGCCTGTGAGTGACCTAGCCTGTGAGTGACCTAGCCTCTGAGTGACCTAGTCTCCGAGTGACCTAGCCTCTGAGTGACCTAGCCTGTGAGTGACCTAGCCTGTGAGTGACCTAGCCTGTGAGTGACCTAGCCTGTGAGTGACCTAGCCTGTAAGTGACCTAGCCTGTGAGTGACCTAGCCTGTGAGTGACCTAGCATCTGAGTGTCTCAGCCTCTGAGAGTCTTAGCCCTGAGTGTCTTAGCCCCCAACTAACCTAGCCCCCAACTAAAACCCCCAACCCCAACTGACCTAGCCCCCAACTGACCTAGCCCCATTTGTCCTAGCCCCCAACTGACCAAGCCTGTGAGTCTGTGAGTCAGGATTAGGGTAAAGAGAGCGGTTTTGAAATTCTTTCTGTGCAGAAGTCTTGTGTGGATACGACATGCCGGAGCGGCTCTGCAAATGAGAATGGGGCTTTGTGCTCCTATGCCTGTTTGAACGATGATCGCATAGCCTCATTCACGTGCCATATCCTCCTTCCCAGCACACACTTCCAGTAAAATCTTCTTGAGCTCAGAGGGACACAATGAGGGTGCCACATAGAAGCATGTACTCACTAGTGGAGTGTGGGGGTACAGTGAGGGGGCACTGCTGCAATTGCCTCTTCCTTTAGCAGCTAGGATGCTCTAGTGGTGAGTTGTGGTTACACACGACACGACCTCAGAGGCCAGGAGGGCAAGCTGTAATCAATCACACTGAGACGAGATGTTCACAAGGTGCAAGTCTTCAGATCCAGCTTGCCAGCTTTATGGTGTGACGGATATATCCGTACCTATACTGTACCATATATACATAGGTAACATCAGATGATCTTGTCACCATTGCTTTGATATTTTAGGTGATAAGTAATTTGTTTCAATAATCAGGTACCAATCACATAAGAGTATTTTCAAATATTGAATAAATCGGAGCCAAAGGCAGCCAGGCAGGCAGGCATGGCATCCCCTCTGCATGAAACTGTTCTATCTTCCCTGAGCTGCTCTCAAAAGATATTTGAGTGTGACAAGGCACAGGTTCACACACGTTGGGCTGTTTACAGTGCAGGGAAGGCCTTGCCCAGCCACCCTCTGTGCTCCACTCCCTTTGCCTCACCTCCACACGCCCGTCAATCTTTACATGGTAGCCACAGCCAATCCGAGTCAATCCACCATGGTACGGTAGAGTGCTGCAGTGCAGCAGCAGGCCACCCAGCCCAGCCAACAACCTTTGAGCAAGGAGCTGCCATCACGTTAATGCCCCTTTCCAGGCACAATATGTATGCATACATCCCTACTGCTCCTGTTTATACACAAACCAATCATAGGCTGCTCTAGCTGTACAAAGAGAACGCCTTTCTAAACCAACTTACACACTCCTTAATGTGCTCCCCTCATTCTCCACAACCCTTGCCTCCATGCCTCTTCCAATATCCTCCAAGCAGTCACTCTCAACTCTGCCCTATTGTTGTCATCCCTCCGCTCCCCTTTCCCCTCCCCCCCCAACACTCTCTCCCACCCTATCTCCATATCCACTTGCGTACATCCTCATCGTTGACCATATTCCCATTTGGCAGCTGGAGAGTTCTCAGCTTGGTCAGGGCAGTCATCTTCTGCAGCCCATCATCCGTGACTGCTATGCCACGCAGCCAAAGTTTCTCTATCCCTATCAGCCGCCCCGCATTCACCATGTCAGTCACACCCTTGCAGTCAGAGAGCCTCAGATGTTTTAGAGAGGAAAAGTGTGCACAGTGCAGCAGACCCGCGTCTGTCACCTTGGTGCGATGGAG